TCTGCGCGACGCTGAGGCTAGAGCCGCATGTTGAAAACCACCCGCCTCATCCCGTTCGAATCTAACTTACGAGGAAGTCTCAGGCGAAACACCCAGCCCACCCTACTGACACGTCTGGGTGTGCGGCAGGGAGGGAGTATTTATAAGGAGCCGGATTAAGGGGGTGGCCCTCCTCCTCCCCTCGCTCCCCCTCGCTCCTCCTCCTCCTCCTCCTCCTCCTCTTCCTCCTCGTCCTCCTCCTCCTCTTCCTCCTCCTCCTCCTCCTCCTCCTTATCTCTCTTCTCTTCTCTCTTCTCTCTTCTTTCTCCTCCTCCTTCTCCTCCTCCTCCTCTCCCATCATCTCTCCTCCGCCCTCCTCCTCCTCCTCCCCCTCCTCTTCCTCCTCCTCCTCCTCCTCCTCTTTTTCCTCCTGAGGGCAGAATAGGAATGGAATGCCTTCCGCTTCAACCCACCTCCACGACACGCTCACTCCGTTCTCGTTGCTGCCCTCGCGCTCTCTCATCCTCCGCACTGGCCCTCCTCGCCGGTGAGCGCGCAGCTCCCTTCGACCCCCCCCTCTCACATCGGTCGTCGCCCCCCCCCCCGCCAACCCTCGCCCTCCCCTCGCCCTGTCACCCTCTGACTCGGATGCGGCTCCCGATCGGGGGGCCTCCCGCCTTCCAGCTCCCCTCCGCTCGCCCGCGCCCGCGCCCGCGCGCAGCCAGCCAGTTCGGCCGGGCCCTTGTGCCGCCAAGCCCCCCGCGCGCGTGGGACCGTCCTTCCGCCGCAGGCGGCGGGGCGAAGGCCGCCAGCGCGCCCGACGCCCGTCGTCCGCCCTCCGTGGGGCTGCCGAGTGGGCCCCCTGACCGTCGGTGGTTGCTCCGTTTCGCCCCCCTCCACCTCCTCCTCCACCTCCTCCTGCTCCTCCACCTCGACATCCCCCTCCTCCTCCTCCTCCTGCTCCTCCACCTCGACCTCCCCCTCCTCCTCCTCCTCCTCCTCCTCCTCCTCCTCCTCCTCCACCTCCCCCTCCTCCTCGTTGTTGGAGTTCCTGACAGAGCTCCGTTATGCTCCCCTCCTGCTCCTCCTCCATCCCCTTCCCTTCTAGATAACTCCTCCCTGTCGCACCCCGCGGCGTGTCGGAAGAAATTCGCCAACGGATGGAGGGCGGGCCGTTTTCAACATGTGGTTCTCGCCTTGGCGCCGCGCACACTCGTTGTAAGCATTTACAAGAGGTTCGCGGATGCAGGGCGGCTCCTTTTAAACATGTGGCTCTCCCGCTAGCGCCGCGCACATTCGCTTGGGCAAACTGCAGGGGCTTCACAGGTGGAGGACGGGTTTCGAAGTGTGGTTCTGGTCTTAGCGCCGCGTGCATTCTTTGTAAGCAGTTGCAAGAGTTTCGCGGATGAAGGGCGGCTGGCTCCGGTTAAACATGAGGCTCTCGCGTTAGCGCCGCGCATGCTCGTTGCGAGAGTTCACAATCGTTTCAGGGATTCTCTGTCTATTTAGCAACGTCACAGAAACGGTGTTTGGGCACGATGTCGGGCTGTCAGGACGCAACAGGTACATCGATTCGTGGTTTTGAGGTCCCACTAGTGGTGTTCTGGCACAATTTAGGATCGCCAAGACGCCACAGTAACAGTGATTCGCGGAGTTGAAGTCTCAGGAATGGGGTTCTGGCGCAGTTCAGGATTTTCAGACGGTTGTCTCCGAACGGGGCAGTTCCCTCAGTGAACATGACTCCGTGTAGGGGCGTAGGAAGGGGGAGCGTGAGGTTGATTGCAATATCGTTGACGAGTCTTTGGCTTACCCTGGTCCTCCTCCTTGCTGTAGTTCCTGACGGAGCTCCTCCTGCTCCCTGCTGCTGCCCTTCCCCATGCTCCTGCACTGCTGCTGCTGCCTCCCGTCCCCCCCCTTCGCTTGTACTAACATCCTCCCTCCCGCTCCCCCCCCTCCCTCACCGTCTCCCTCCCTCACTCTGTTTCATTTGTTGTTAGCTGTTTCTCTCTCTCTCTCTCTCTCCCTCTCTCTTTCTCTCTCTCTTCCCCCCCTGTTATATGTTTGTATGTCTCTCGTTATCCATTTCTGTCTCTCTCTCTCTCTCTGTCTCTGTCTCTGTCTCTGTCTCTGTCTCTCTCTCTCTCTCTTCCTGTCTATCTATCGCTGTATATGTATAGCATTATTTACCTCTCTCTCTCTCTTTGTGTTTTTTTTCCTCTCTCTCTCTCCATTGCGAAGGCCTTACGGCCGGTGCCGCCGACCCTGAGGCTGAGGAGCCACGGAGCATGGGGAGGAGGATGAGGAGGGGGATTGGAGGAAGAGGTGGATGAGGAAGAATAGGAACACAGGGGGGGAATGAATAGGAGGAGAGTGAGGCGAGCACGGTCGCGGGGGGGGCACGAAGGAAGGGCAGGGGCGAGTAGAGCGTGTCGATCATGAGGAGGAGAAGGCGGGAGATAATGGCGAGGATGTTGACGATGTTGACGACGACGCCGGTTGCCTATCAGGACCATTCGGGGCGTCTTGGAGCCCTCCTGGGGCGACTTCAGGCTTCGTTCGCTGTTTCGAAGCTAGTTTCGGCATCTTGGGCATCTGGGAGGCCACGGAGGTGTATTAGATTTGCATGGGGCCGGAGCGGGCCGGGAGCCAGGGCCAGGGCCGGGGCCGGGGCCGGGGCCGAGGCTGGGACTGGGGCCAGCCGGCCGGGGCCAGTGCCAGGGCCGGGGCTGGGACTGGGTCCGGGGCCAGGACTGGGTCCGGGGCCGGGGCCGGCGGGGCGGGAGCCGGGGCCTGCCGGGACCGGGGCCGAGGCCGAGGCCGGGGCCGGAAGCGGAGTCGGGGCTGGGGCCGGGGACTGGGGCTGGGGCCGGGGCTGGGGCGTGGTAGAATGCCTCGGCTCTTGGCACGTCTGAGGCTTTGTGTGGACCCCGACAAGCAGGGGGGGAGTCGCATCTGACGCGGGACTCCCCCCAGGACCCTCCAGGACTCCCCCCCCGGCATGGGAGGGGCTGCGGCGTGCTGGCGGAAGGCGGCGGAAGGAAACGATGGCGGGTCCGCCAGCGGGAGATCGGCGGGAGGCGTCGTCGTCGTCGTCGTCGTCGTCGTCGTCTTCTTCGTCGTCGCCGCCGCCGCGGCCGCCGCCGTCGTCGTCGTCGTGGTCGTCGTCGTCGTCGTCCGGGAGGCGTCGCCCAGCAAAGAGAGGCGTCGACATGCTTGGGTCCAGGGCTTCCAGAATTGGACATGCCGCCCAGCGGTAGCGTGGATCCCTCTGATCCGAGGGTCTGCCCTGATATCTTTCTTTGACCCTCGTCGCGTGGGTGCACCGTGCACCCGCGGGAGAGCCGGCCGCCGCGCGCATGGGCCCCCAGCGGAGCAGAAGGTTCGCATTCGGAAGAAGGTCGCCTTTCTCGCCAGTTCCGCCATCGCGCCATCGATTCTCGGTCCATTGGTTTTCGACTCTCAAGGTTTTTGCGTTTTTTCCCATACCTCCTGCGTTGGGTTCTCGCTTTGAATCGAGCACTGCTCGCGCGAACCTTCCTTCCCGTCCCTCTCTCCCCCCCTGCCTTTTACCTGGCTCGTCGCTGCGTTTCGAGGGCTGCTGGGGGCTGCGATCTGTGAGACTGTCGCCACTTTCGAGGGCTGCTGGGGGGCCCAGCACAGTGGGTACCTACGGCGGATTCAAATGGGACCTCGCCATCCCTGGGGGGCTGCGATCTGTGAAACTGTCGCCACCTTCGAGGGCTGCTGGGGGGCCCAGCACAGTGTGCACCCGCGGCGGATTCAAATGGGACCCTCGCCTTCCCTGGGGGGGCTGCGATCTGTGAAACTGTCGCCATTTTCGAGCCCTGCTGGGGGGCCAGCACAGTGAGGGCCACGGGCGGATTCAAATTAGACCTCGCCATCCCTGGGGGGCTGCGATCTGCGAAACCGTCGCCACTTTCGAGGCCTGTTGGGGGGTCCAGCACAGTGAGGGCCACGCGCGGATTCAAATGGGACCTCCCGCATCCCTGGGGGGCGCGATCTGTGAAACTGTCGCCACTTTCGAGGGCTGCTGGGGGGCCCAGCGCAGGGGTACCCACGGGGATTCAAATGGGACTCGCCATCCCTGCTGTGGGGGCGGCTGGCTGCGATCTGTGAAACTTGTCGCCACTTCTACCTCGCCTGTCGCGCGTTTCGAGGGCTGCTGGGGGCTGCGATCTGTGAAACGGTCGCCACTTTCGCGGGCTGGCTGAGGGGCCCAGCGCAGTGGGTACCCAGGGGGATTCAAATGGGACATCGCCATTCCCTGGGGGGCTGCGATCTGTGAAACTGTCGCCACTTCGAGGGTGCTGGGGGCCAGCGCAGTGGGTACCACGGCGGATTCAAATGGGACCTCGCCATCCCTGGGGGGCTGCGATCTGTGAAACTGTCGCCCCTTTCGAGGGCTGCTGGGGGGCCCAGCACAGTGGGTACCCACGGCAGATTCCAATGGGACCTCGCCATCCCTGGGGGGGCTGCGATCTGTGAAACTGTCGCCCCTTTCGAGGGCTGCTGAGGGGGCCCAGCGCAGTGGGTACTCACCGCAGACTCATTAGACCTCGCCATCCTTGGGGGGCTGCGATCTGTGAAACTGTCGCCACTTTCGAGGGCTGCTGAGGGGCCCAGCACAGTGGGTACTCACCGCAGATTCAAATGGGACCTCGCCATCCCTGGGGGGCTGCGATCTGTGAAACTGTCGCCACTTTCGAGGGCTGCTGAGGGGCACGTCTTTCTCCTGCTCTTCGTTCCCGAGTCCCCATGTCCTCTTCGAGCCGGTAGTTGTCGCCCCTCGTTCTTGTATGGTTCTCCTGCGCATCATGCCATTGGCGCGTGTCCCAAGTAGCTTACATATCAAACAACGGATCCTGCAATTTGATTGTCCGTGCAAGTTCCGGCCAACTCCTCGTTGCCCATGATACACATGGGTTGGGTACGTCACAGGGTAATCTTTTCCTCCTGTCCCTCTCATCTTCTCTTGGGACTCGGACCTCCGCAAGCGACCCCCGCCCGAGGTCCGCATTCCCTCACCGGAATGGCCTTTGATGATGCTGTGAAGCAGAAGGCTGGTGGGCGGGTGCCTTCCCAGCGGCCTTGAGAAAGAGGAGAGGAAGAGGAGGAGGAGGAGGAGGAGGAGGAAGAGGAGGAGGAGGAGGAGGAGGAGGATGAGGAGGAGGAGGAGGGAACAGTGCCACAGCCCCCCCCCCCCCCTGTCACCCTCAGCATCTCCTGGACCCGTGGGTGCAATCTCTCGGGCTGAGGCGTGTTGACGAGGACATTGGCCAGAGGGGACAGCGAACTCCCCAACACACAGCCCGCGAGGCCAGGGTGCGCCTCGCGTACTCGTGCGTGCCTCGGCAGCCGTCGACGTCTCCACTTGGCATTAACGCCATCATGCCCAGAGGCCAGAGGGGGACGTCTGACGCCTTCATGTTACACGGAGCGACGGCAGGCTGACGAGCCCCCAGCTACTCTTTCACGAAATGGCATTGCCGTTCATGGCTCCCCTGTAAGCTGGCTCTGCCTGGTGTGCTTATGATCTCTTTTGATGAGCTGTCGTTCTTAGCCTGCATGTCGTGTGGCACTTGCTTGGAATAGCGCTTTAGGTATTGCAGCGACTCCTGTGTCTGCTGTTTAGCGACTAGCGTCCATGTTTATTTCGTTTGTGGGTGGCCGTGTCAGGTATAAGGTCTTGACGCTTCCTGGGTCCCCTGGAGCCCATCCAGTTATCAGTATTGCGCCCCCTTCTGGTCTGGTCGGTCTGTTCTGGCTTTGCTTGGTCCGCTCCTGCGTGGTCTAGTCTGGTCTGGCTGGCTTTCGTGAGGTCAGTGTTGCCCTGGCCGTGGCTGGTCGGGTCTTGTGTGATCTAATTCTGGGCCTATCTGGTCGCGGACGTGTGCACGGTCGGAAATCGAGAGAAGTGCGGTCACTCGAGTTGCTTCCCCTCGTGTTCATGCTCGTACCTCCTTCTCTTGCCTCTACCTTCCCTTTCCCGTTACGCCTCGTCCCTGGGCCTTCCTCGCTCATGTTCTCCTTGTGCCACCCCCCATGTGCCCACATCTTGCGGGCTACAGACCTGCGAGCACGTGGGCTGCCTTGCTTGCCGTGGTCTGGTCTGGTCCGGTTCTTGGCATCGCTCGGACGTGTGCATTTTTTTCTCGGCGAGAACCATCGAGGACCATCCTGGACCATCGAGCAAACAACACGAGCACGAAACCGAAAAATGCACGGGAAGTGGACGTCCGAGCGACGGCAAGGGTTGGGTATTGTATGGTGGGCACTTGTGTGGTCTGGCTAGGTCTGGCAGGCACGATCCCGTATGGCACGGTATGGCCGCGGGCCATCCGATCTCGTTCCGCCCGATCAGAATTACGGAGGAAGAGCCAGAGGAGCAGGCACGGGATGAGCAGGACGAGAGGAGACGAGGAGGCCGAGGGTGAGGCGGCGGAGGAGGATGCGGCTGCAAGCGCGTGTGCGTATGCAGCCGTCCTCCTGTAACAAGATGTACTGAGTCGTCCTCCTCCCTCCCCTGCTCCTCATGTCCTGTCTGATCTGACGTGGCGTGGTCCTGCTGAGTCTGGTCTCATCTGTTCCTGCGTGGTCCTGCGTGGTCCAGTCTGGTCGGGCTTGCTCTTGTGCGGCCTGGTCTGGGCTGGTGTGATCTGGCATGATCGGGCGTGGCCCCGCGCAGTATGGCGTGGGCTGCGCTGCTCGCGCACAGGATGAGAAGGAACAAAAGCAAGCAGTCCTCTCCTGGCGGTCTTGCTGTCTCTCTGCTTTCTTGCTGTTTTGGTCTCTTCGTCGTCGCACGAAAGGGTGGGCCTGGCCACCACTTTGCACTGCTCGGGGCTGGGGTTCCGACCACCTTCTCTAGGCTTGCTTGGTGGAGTCATCGTCCCATCAGTTGGGAAGCTGGCAGTTGTCATCATCACGTGTCTTCTTTGGGGGAGAAAAAGAGAAGGAACAACAGCAAACCATGACGAATTGCGTGCTGGTTATCCGTAAGGGCTTCGATCCCCTGCCGCCGGCCCCCTCTCTCGGATACTGGGCAACGCAAGAGCGAAATCACGAGGCCTTGGCGCCGCCGTGAATCAGCGTCGGATTTTGTTTTTAACGTAGGTTGCAAAGTTCAGACTTCATGTGATTGTGTTTTCGGCTGCCACGAGTGCGATGATCAAATGAACTATGACGTGCGCTGCCCGATCCTGTGGAGGCTTGCGTACCATCCTCTCGGCCCTCTTGCTTGCCTCTCCGAGCGGATGTGGTTCAACGGCAGCCCGTCGCCCCAGGCAGTTGGGCGACTTGTGCGTGCTAGTCAAATAAACAACAAGGTTGCACGCACGGGCCCCTCTCCAGGCCTACACAAGGCCCCATATGATCATCACTACAAAATTCGCCGTGCCGCTGAGGCACAGGTAGTCCATTCTAGAGCGCCCTTTCTAGGCCTTCTTTGGATCCTAGAGCTTCCCCTCTGGTTACGAGCGATATGTAGACATAACATAGGGAGAGAGAGAGAGAGAGAGAGAGAGAGAGAAAGAGAGAGAAAGAGAGACAAAAGTGGAGCCAGAGCGGCTACAGAGATGACGGGGCAGGTCAAGGATGCGTTCAAGTCGCGGGCCGCTCAGACGTCCTTCCCTCGCGCCCGCTGGCGTGCCTCGCGGCCCCACTCGTTGCCTGGCGTGGGAATGCCGCACGCGCGAGCAGAGGAGGAGGAGGAGGAGGAGGAGGAGGAGGAGGAGGAGGAGGAGGAGGAGGAGGAGGAGGAGAGGCAGGGGCACGGCAGGATGCGGCGGGGGGCACCTGCAGCGGATCAGCTGCTGCACTTGAGTCAGAGGTGCGCGCCGCGCGCCCCGAGTCAGGGGAGACGCTGCGCTGACGCCCTCTCCACTGGCCTCCGCGGCAGCGGCGGGGGACCAGACCATCTCGAGCCGACCGAATCCGATGCCGCCCTCGGGGTGTCCAGGATACTGTGGTGGCCCGCAGGGGTGGCGTCTGGAGGCTCCGAGGGGTGTTGGACGATCGCGGGTGCTTCGGGAGGGGGCCCCAGGGTCTGCGCGCGGGGGAGGCCCGAGGAATTCGAGGCGTGTTCCAGGTGCGTGCACGGGGCTTCCCGCCCGGGCCTCCGAGGCAGGTTCGGGGAAGCTCTGCGTTCCGGAGGGTTTCCCGACGGATTCCCGGAGGGCTGCGGGGGGGTGCGGAGGGCTCACGGGGTACACGTGGTTTGGCCGAGGAGCTCAGGCGAGGGTCCGGGGAGGGCTCCTTGGGCCTCCTTGCGAGTTTCGGTGATCCTCGGGTTGTCTTGGCCCAAGGCGTATGTTTACCCCGTTCGGCTCCGCGGGTGGCGCGCAGGCTGTGTCGGCCCTCGTTCTGCGTCGTATTGAGGGGTCTCGGTGGACAAGCGCACGGTGGCGCTGACACACGTTTTGAGGATCATCGAGAGTATCTCCTCTTGGGCCCCGCTCAGGGGCTTCTTTCGAAGATTTTAGTCGGCCGTCTTGTGGAATAGGTGGATATCGTCGGCAAGATCACGGTGGCAAGAGGGTGCGGGAGGGGCGAGCGAGCGAGCATGCAGCAGTGCAGTCGAGAACGATACCACAGAGCATATATGGTAGGACGTAGGGGAGTGGACCGAAAGAGGCCAGCTCCCCCACTGAGTGTGGATCAGCCGCAGTGTCGGCTGGGACGGTAAGTCTGGATCCCTGGGATGGACCGGGCCAGCTGACCCATGATCGGGATCGGGCCACGAGCTGGCCTGGATCGAGGGAGTAACACCAAGTGCACGGCGCACCGCTGGAGTGTCGGCAACGTGTCGGCCAACCAAGGAGGGCGAGCAGGATGAGGATGAGGATGAGGATGAGGATGAGGATGAGGATGATGAGGATGATGAGGATGATGAGGATGATGAGGATGATGAGGATGATGAGGATGATGATGATGATGATGATGATGATGATGATGATGATGATGATGATGGATGATGATGCTGATGATGCTGATGATGATGATGATGATGATGATGAGGATGGTGATGATGGTGATGATGATGATGATTGTGATGCTGATGCTGTACTGAGTGATGCGGATGCTGATGTTGATGATGATGATGATGATGCTTGAGATGATGATGATGATGATGCTGATGATGATGATGATGATGATGATGATGATGAGGATGATTGATGATGAGCGATGAGTGATGATGATGATGATGATGAATGATGATGATGATGGATGCGGAGGAGGAGGGAGGAGGAGGAGAGGAGTGAGGAGGAGGAGGAGGAAGACGAGGAGGAGGAGGAGGAGGAGGAGGAGGAGGAGGTGCAGGAGGCTACTGCGCACTCGGAGTGTCCGCCTAGGTGGGACTCGAACGGCGACGGCATCATCTCGAAGAACGAGATGAAGGCGGTGCTGCTCAAGCTGCTGAACAAGCACACCTCGACCGTCACCGAGGCGCCGGTGAGCGCGGCCATGGGCGGCGGCAGTCACCCCGTGCCGCGCGCGCCCCCGGCTCCCCACGTCCCTCGCCCTGCTCTCCTCCCTCTCCTCCCCCTCTCCCGCCTCTTCTTCGGCTTCCTCTCATCCTTGCTTTTCTGGTCCCCCTCCCTGCTCGCCTCCCTCGCCTCCCTCCACCATCTCTTCCGCGTCTTACGCCCCGCCTTGCTCCTCTGGTTCCCCTCCCTGCTCGCCTGCCTCTCCTCCCCATCCCGTCTCGTCATCATCTGACTCTCCTCCCTCCCGTCTGATCCCTCTCCCTGCTTTCCTAGCTCTCCTCACCCTCCTGTCCCTTCTTCCTCTTCCCTGCCTCCTTGCTGTTCTGATCCCTCTCCCTGCTTTGCTTGCTCTCCCCCCCCTCCCGTCTCTTCGTCATCCTCCTCTCCTCCGTGCTGTTCTGGTCCCTCTCGCTGCTCTCGGTGACACTGGCAGCCTGCGTCTCCAGATGCCCATGCGTCCTTGGCCTGGTGTTTCCTGCACCCGTCTGCCGCAATCTGTCTGTCTCGCCCTCTCTCTCTCTCTCTCGCTCTCTCTCTTTCTCTGTTCGCATGTGAGCACAGACACATTACCATGGTTACTGACCGCTTCTTCACATGTCATTTACACCGCTGCTGCAATCTCTCTCTATATATATATGTATACATATGTATGTGTATATGCATATGTATATGCATCTGTATATGCATACGCATATGCTCATGTGATTTATACATACACTCTTTGTGTATGCATACACATGTATACACATTACATTTGATATACACAGATTGCACACCTCCTCTCTCTCTCTCTGTTTTTCCCCCTCCCATTCATTCTGTCGAATTGGGCTTGCTGGGCACAGCAGGGCAGGTTTACGGAGCGTTCTGCTTCGATGCTTTACGCCTCACGTGTGCGCTCTGCGGTTGACGGTCTAAAGAGCTCCCCACGGGACCAAGGGATAATGTTAGTGCGGGCCCTGAACGAAGCTCTGTTGCATGGCGTTGCGGTCAGACATGCCGCCCGACACGTGGCTGCTCAGCTTCTGCGGAATGTAGTGCCTCAAGTGTTTCCCCTTGGTCATTTTAGAATTGGCGCGTCGTTCCCAGGAGGAGGAGGAGGAGGAGGAGGAGGAGGAGGAGGAGGAGGAGGAGGAGGAGGAGGAAGAGGAAGAGGAGGAGGAGGAGGAGGAGGAGCAGCGAATGGAGGAGTCGAACTAGGAGGATGAGGAGCGCCTGCTTTCGTTCACCATGCTGCGGGCACGGACGGGGCAGGCCTCGCGCCCCTGCGCTCTGGTGGCGCGCAGGGTAAGCCCTTGATCAAGCTGCTACTCCTCCTGGTAGTGTGCGTGGATCCTGTCATCCTGGTGTGCTGGCCCTCGTGGGACGGCATCCATCGCAGTACGCCTCCGGGTCCCTTCACTGCCCCTCCCCTCCAGCGGCTCCCTGGCTCCCTGCCCACCTCGCCACGCCCGGCGCTCCCCCAGGGGCTGTAAGGAGGGGGGGAGGATGCAGAGGGGGAGGAGGGGGAGAATCAGGAAGAGGGGACGTGGAGGAGGAGAATGGTAGAAGAAGATCGCTTTTAGGACTTTGACCGCCAGCACGATCAGTCTCAGTGTGGACATTCGGCATTTTGCCTGCACCGAGGAAGAGTACTGCCGCACCTACCACATACCTTACACCACATAGTTCCACCACGTAGCATTCACATAGCTTGCACCACATGTCTTTAACCAAATATCTTACGCCACACAGCTTCCCCCACATAGCTGTCACCATATTGCTTGCACCACATTGCTTGCACCACAGCTTGCACCGCATAGGTTGCACCAGATAGTTTGTACCACGTGGCTTCCACCACATAGCTTGCACCACACAGCTTCCACCGCATGGCTTCCACCACATGGCTTCCACCACACTGCTTGCACCACGTAGGTTGCGCCACTTCCTCCTCGTAGCTCTCACCACATAGTTTCCTTCACATAGCTTCCTCCAGAAAGCTTCAGCCACACATAATCTACCACATTGCTTGCAACCTATATTCAACGCCCCCCGCGTAGAACACGTCATACAATGCACGGGCTTTCGGCCAATCAGGGATACCAGCCTGGGCAGCTTGTGCTTGAGCACGAGACGAGGAGGCTAAACATCGAGGGATCATGCCCCGACTGCCACCCCCAAGAGGGCGCAGGAACAGGGAAAAGGACAGGGGATGATTAAAGGCAAAGGGGTCCGTGGCGGTGAGGTGAGGGAGAAGCGAGATGTCGGGAGGTGGGATGGGGACCGAGCCATTTCTTGTACCAGCCAGCTCCGTGTGGTGCCGAGGAGGACCTCGACTCGTTCATGAAGGAGGCGGACAGAAACGACAACGGTCCGCCCCGGCCCCTGTCGCGCTCTCTCTCTCTCTCTCTCTCTCTCTCTTCGCTAGCAGCCAGGGGATCCGAAGTTACTCCCAGGAGTTGCAGGTACATGCTTCCCCCCGTGTCCGCGACTGCGCGAGCAGGCGGCACACGGGAAGGAGACAGCCCGGGCGGCGTGGAGAGCCGGGGCGTCGTGTGGGGGGCGCGGGGCGTGGGAGGAGCCGCTGTGCGGGGGCGCTCGCCCCGCCGTGGCGCACACGCATTGCAGCCTCCTGCTGCCCGGAGGAGCCGGCCACAGGGTCCAGGTCGCGGCGTATAGCACCAGCAGCCGACCGGCAGGTTCGGGTCGTGCCGACCGGTGGCGACCCCGCCGGCGGCGCTCAGCTTTGAACGCTGCGGGCGACCCAGAGTCGTTCGATGTGGAAGGATTCGGACGTTTCGGAAACGGCCGATCGTTCAGGGCTGAACGATCCCCGCGGTGTCAGAAACCAACGCCGAAGTCGGCACGACACGAAGCTGCAGAACATGTATCATTGCCAGTTGCAGCATCTCCCTTGGCCGTCGCAGGGGCAACGCCACACCGATCACACCTTTCTTCTACGATAGGCACGTCAAAGAAGCAATCGGCCTGCCAGCAGGTGCCCCCACGAGAGTCTCGTATCCCCCAGTGGCCCTGGGGCCCGACAGGAGGCCGGGGGGCACCTCAGGAGACTCAAGTCTCGACGAACAAGGTGCCCCGGTAGTTCTGATGTGGCCACCTCGCCTGGTCCGTCTTCTTCCCATGCCGCTTCGTCGCTTCTCGCCCTCTCCCGAGCTCCTCTCTACACATGGTTCATTTCTTATTATTCGACAGTTCTTTGTTTTTTTTGGGGGCCAAGATCCTTTAATTTCTGATTGTTCTATCCTTGGCCTCTTCCTGGCCACTAGGGGGCCAGGAACAATGAGAAACGAGCACAATTAGAAATGAGCACAACTAGAAATGAACGGTGTGTACTCCTGTGTTCCGCTCCAGACTCGGAACAGCACACGCAGCCCAAGCATCCGAGCCTCGTTCCCCCAGCTGGCCCTCGCCGAAGGCCCCCACCTCCCGGCGGGTGGCGCAGCGGAACCATCTCCGCCGCCTCCGTGGGAGAGGGCCGCAGCTCCCCCATTGGGCGGGCGACGGGGGGCCCCACGGCACTCGCTCGACCCGACCGCCTCGGGCCCGCTCACCATCGACTTTGGCGGGAGGCTTCCCGGAGGTCCTCTCTCTCATTCTCTGCCCGGACACGCGACGTTTTGGCTTTCTTCCACGCGCGGTCCCCAGAAGTCCCGACCCTTGCCCCAGGGCCGGTCTCTCATCCCAACGCGCTCGGTGGACGGTCCCGGCAAGGGCCCCCAGAGGCCGAGCGCGTGGAAGAGTCGCCGCCCGGATCTCTTCGGGCCGTTGCACACCTGGGTGCCCCTCCGCTTCTTCCTCGCCCCCTCCTCGATCGGAGGGCTCCCTGAGGCCCCCGCACGCTTATGGTCGGCGAGCTCCCTCCAGGAGGAGATCACCAGAAATAATAAAAGATCTCCCAAAGATATACCCGGGGCCCCGTCTTGAGATTTTTCAAAAGATATACCTTTGGAGGTGCGCCAAAAAAAACTTGTCCTCGTTTTCGCTCTCGCCTCTTCCCTTGTGCACGTGACGTAATTCTTGGAATTCCGTTGTGCACCAATGTGTGTTATGGCGTTGTGGCTCATAATATTTGAGTATCTCTCTTGGTGGGGGCCGCCGAAATTAAGAGATTAGGGTTCGCACGGGAGCCCTCTAAGCCGCTCGCGGTTTGTCTTTGAGCCATCTTGGAGGCATTTTGGAGGAGGCATGCGTGCACACATGATTTATGTATTATTACACACGGTAGGCAAATAGCAACATTTCAGTAGGTAGGCAGATTACATGGCAGGTATGTATAATCACACACTTTATGTCTTATTACACACGGTATGTTTCATTACACACGGCAGGCAGATTACATGCACTTCGGTCGACAGCGCCGCCAAATCTCTCGCTCGAGACATCCCAACATGCCAAACCAATTCCGCGAAGGTGCATCCGTTACTGAGGTTGTTCCAAGACGAACTCGTACCACCGTTACCTTTCCGTCACCATTTTGGCTCAAACTAATGTCGGTTCAACCCGTTGTGTTCCAAACAAGTTTGGAGGAGGATGGCGGGGGCGCCTCCTCGGAGGAAGCGCGGCCGCCCATCCCTGTTGGATCGGCTCGCGGAGGCTGCCTCGCTGGACGCGAGGGCCCGAGATGCCGACGATCCGAGCATCGCTGCCGCAGCTGCGCTTAAAGCCCGCCGAGGCGAGGTGGTGCCGATGGCGGTGGCGCCTGCGGGGGCCACCGCAGTTCTGGAGGCTGCGCTCGCGCCCCGTCAGTTGGAGCTGGCTGCAGTGACGCAGGCGGAGCGCATCTCACTTGGCCACGCGGTCGCGACCGTCGCTGCCAGCGGTGTCGGTTTGGCCCCTGCCGTTTTGAACGCGACGCAGCGTTTCTGGGGCACCTTGCCGTCTTGGGCGGCCATGCCGCGAGCTGCGCGAGCAGCCTTGGTCGGCACAGAGCCGCTGAAGGACCTGGAGCGGCGCCTCGCTGCCGCAGCTGACGCCTTCGAAAGGCATTCGCTCGCTGAGCTAATGGTCATCGGGCCGCCTCCAATGAAAACTCCCGACAATTCTTGTTCTTTCCCTCATCCTGCTCCTTCTTCCACCCCGCCGCCCACAAACCCAGACCCGCGGACCCCGTTCCTCTCTCCCGCTCCCCCCTTCTCACCGTTTTCAGCTCTTTCCTTTTCCGAGCAAGCTGCCAAGAAGGTGGCCAAATACCATACGCTCACAGAGCAATGTCTTTCGCCAGGCACGTCTGCGCAGCACGCCTGTGGACGTCCTGCCGTTGGTGCTCGTGGAGTCAGTTCGCTATGACGAAGCGACAACGCTGATGTCCGTGCGGCAGGCGGCGGAATCGGTCCCCGAAGTGTTCTTGGGCGGTGTGAACAGAGGGCCCGCTGATTCGCTGGGCATCGTGGAACCTGTTCCTGCCAAGCTTTTTCAGACATTCACGTCTGTGGGGGCTTTATTCAAGCGAACTGGACAGGATGGCCGCGATGAGTACATGGTGTGCACATCTGATGTGACTTCGCCACCGCAGGTGCTGCAGCGGACAACGGCCCCCTGCGTCGCACGAGCCTTGCACCTGTCATGGTTTTGCCCGTGGCGAGCTTGTCACGCGTACCGCCTTCGAGTGCGAGTCGTTTGTTCGGACAGGTACGCTGCCCAGTTTTCTGCCGAGACGTCGCTTGAGTCAGCTTCAGGTGAATACGTGAAATTGCATATGGGGTGCGACATCCATAAGGGGGTCACGTCCTTGTGTAAGGGCCTCGGACTCCTTGACGACTGCATATCTGGAATGATACACTGTGCCAAGTCACTTCGCCCCGACGGCTGGGTGCGCACCTTTCGCCAGGCTCTGTTGCACGTTGTCGCTTCTTCTTTGGATATTTAAGACGCCTTCGGCGAGAAGCCGAACCACCCCCTGCCTTATGGAAGCGCCTGCGTGGCCCACCCTCGCAAACTTAACCCTAAATGCTTGCGCGCGCGGGTGCCGCGCGACCTCCTGCAACGGATCGGGCTTTGCGTTCGGAAGGAAGCGGGGGGATGCGTCAGTTGACGGTAACAAAGCGTGATGATGCAGCTGGCAATGATGGAAGGGGAAGGGGATGAGGAT